GGGTAAACCCTTCCTGAGGCTGCACGGCGCTCACAGTCGGCTTCTTCTTTTGAAGGTTGGTGGTTCCAGGGATCACCTTGGGGTTAAACAACCACAAGCATTCACAGACCAGGCTGCTGGTTTCTTCGGCAAAAGCATTTTTTAAAAACATAAAGACTTCAGATCTGCTTGTTTCCAGTGAGCTCTGCTGTGAAGACACGTTTTTAACGCTGAAGCTTCTGTTTGTTTTCCTAATGGGCCTCCGTGCTCTGCTGATATGTTCTCTCTCTCAGCCTAATGGTACCCACCTGCAGCCATGGGAAGCAAGGGCTTAGCTGGGAAGACAAAACGCTTAAAATGACTTTTGACACAAAGTTCCAAATTGGTGGGATGGGGCACTGGTTTTATTTTCTGCTAAGCAGGTTGCTTTGCAGAAACAATTTCTACGACTGATGTAGTTTGCGAAACACACAGTTGCTTTCTGAAGCCTGCAAGGCTCCAAATCACCAAGCTCTTAGTCAGCTTAAAACGCAGTCCACAGGCAGAGTGTCGCCATCAGCACACTGTGTTTCCTTTCATTCTTGCTCAGGTGCCGGCCGGCAGGAGCCAAAGTCCAGCTCTCTCTCGTAGAATGTTGCTAAAAGCAGTGAGAAGCAGCTAATGCTCTTTTTTTTTACATTATAAATTTATCCTGCCATTTCCTGCATCAATCCTTGTCAGGACATGGGCTGGTTTTCAAAAAGTAACAGGCAGTGGTTTTTATCAAATGCTTTGTTTCTGTATAACCAGGGTCACGGGCTCTCTTGCTCACAATGTTTAGCGCCTGCCGCCTGAACACATCCATTCAGCCAACGCCACGTGCTTAAGTTCTGCTGCTTGGAGCTCACTTCTCTGGTTCTCTGTTTTGTATCAGTTAAGATTAGATCTGGCCATGACTGACAGAAAATCCAAAAGAGCAATGGCTTAAACAAGACACATTTAGTTCTTCCTCATGCGGAGTGGGCTTCCTGGTGCCCAGGCACCTCTCCCTCTCTCTGCTCTACCACACTATGCATCGGCTCTGATGGCTGCCCCACCTCCAGCCATCACATTCTAAGCCCAGACAGTAGAAGAGGGAGAGGAGACAGACACATCACTCTGTTCAAGGACACTTCCTGGAAGTTGCCTCCCATTGGCCAGAAGGTAGTCACACAGCCATGCCCCGCTGAAACGCAGGATGGGAAATGTTGCTGCCAATCTTCCTGGCATGTACACAGAAAAGACTCCGCGTTCTTCTACTGGAGAAGAAGAGAGAACACATTTTAGGGCAACCAGTAGTCTCTGCAGCCTCATACTTGCATAAAATTTCAGTAGTAGAAGGCTTGTATTGGGAAAAGTTAAAAGACTGTTTTCATGGCTCCAGAATTATTTATACTCTCTTTCTTCATAGCAGATTTGTTTGGCCTTTGACACACACATTTCAGAGAAGACAATGGCTAGACAAAGATTGCAGGCTCTGCCACACAGAGGAACTGCCTGATGAGGGAAAGCCATCTCAGAAACACCCTCTACCTGGCACTGTCTTGATATCCTTGACAGCTGCCACAGGTCATCTTTGAGGGGACGGTGGCTGTGTCTACTTCTCAGAAACATAAAATGAGGTCTCCTTAGTCAGTGTTTCACTTGGGAAGAGGAAAGTTGTAACCAGTGAGGTATCTGCTGTGTTTAGTAAATCATAAAAACAAGCAAAACGAGCATCTCAGATGAAAAGCTCCATGAAACCAATGATTGTTATCGCGCATAAAAACCAAAATTGATGAAATGCAAAATAAATATTTAACGTCTCAGACTGCAGCTATCTTTGGACTGCTAAGTAATTTGGAGGCTAATGTTCATAGTAAAATCACATTTTCTCTGAAAATATTTACTATTTCAGTTTATTGCCTTATTCATTGCCATTAGCAAGAATTGGTTTAATTCATGAGAATATGTGAATTCCATTACAGGCTAAGAATTTTCACCAAAGCCTCCTGGTGCTGATGTTCCTAATGGAAATTTTCTTTAAGCATGTAGCTAGACTTGAGAATGAACTTGTGAGGAGAGCCAGCAGATATCCAGAAATGTTTCCTGCAGGCATCAGTCGGGGAAAGTGATAATACATAATGTAGACTTGCATGTAAAGGGAAAGGCTGAAGGATCCTATGCAAAGGGTGCTTCCTACAGATGCCAACATGGCCATTTTCTTCACTGGACACGAGTTCCAAGACTGAAGGCCTATGAAAACAGTCAGAATCTGAATCTATGTGTGTGTGTGTGTGTGTGAGTGTGTGTGTGTGTGTGTGTGTGAGTGTGTGTGTGTATGTGTGTGCGTGTGTACAGATATAGGTATCAGCTTCAAAATACACAAAGAAGAAAGTAAACTAAAAATTTGTAAATGTCTAACTAAATATCTACAAAATATGACATTTGGTTATCCTCATTAATTGTTAAACGTGCAGTTCATGAGTGTTGCATGAATATTTTATTACTATTAGAAACAATGTGTTGCAGAGCTGCTCATAATGCGGGAATATTCACAAATCAGCACAGCTGCTGACATTCTGTAGCCAGTAGCAAGTTAAATAAGTTACCTATAGTTAAAAGCAAATGTATTTAAAAGCTTTCAAAATTCATACAGCATGTTTGTTTTTAATGCAAAATAGGAATACATCCTAAAATGTTTGATGTGATGTAGAGTTTCCATATAGAATGCCCCAGAGAAGGAGTCAAGCACACTTTTTCTATGAAGAGCCAAAAAGTAAAGATGTAGGCTTTGTGGGCTGTGGGGTCTGTGTTGCAACTACTCGGCTCTGCTGCGGAACACAAAAGGATCCATGGGTAATACCTGAACAAATGATCATGGTTGTGTGCCAATAAAACTTTATTTACAAGAACAGACAGTGTGCTTTACCATGTTAGTAAGGCAAATCTGGAAGGGCCAATACCCACCCATTGCCCCTGCCAACAATTCAGATTCAAAAGTATATGTTTCTTGGAGTGACATCAGCAAGATGGCCAACTAGAGATGTCTGGTGCTCCCCAAGACCCCCACCAAGAAAGAATCACGGCAACAAATAAACAACTAAGCTTTAACTGGAGTGTTGAAAAGAAAATGTTGTCATGCAGCAGGGGAGTAGAAAAGGACCTGTGATGGCTGGAAGCCCGGGAAGGCAACACAGAGGCACCCTGCATCTGTACCCCATCTCCTCTGCCGGAATCAGATCAGCCCAGAGACAGGAGGACTTTCCACTGCAGGAAAAAGGTAAGCAGAAGATCCCTAACAGTCCCCATTGCCACTGCAAACACCTACAGTCCTTATGCACGAGACTCCCACAGTCCTCATAAAGCAATCTACAGATGCAATGCAAACATACGGTTTCAGATAGCTAGAAGGGGGATGTTGAATGCTCCCTCCCAATACAAAGAAATGAAAAAATGTTTGAGCCAATGATTATGCTAATTACCCTGATCTGATCACTGTAAATGTATTGAAACATGAAAAATGTATTGAAACATCCTTATGTATCCCATAAATATGTACAATTATTATATGTCAATTATTTAAAATAATAAAGTTTCAAAACTTGAGAGAATTTTTTAAAAAATCTGCAGGGAACAGAATGGAAGAGGCAAGTATAAGGAGGCAATTAAATAAACTAATGTGTTTATTTTGTTTTGTTTTCCAAAAACACATATTTTTCTAAAAAATGACTTTTATCCTGAATTACTCAGAAAATGTCCTAGGCTGTCCTCTGAGTCATGCTACGATCAATACAGCTGTTCTACACATTCAAGCATCCTATTCAGACATGCCAGTGCTTTAAATATGATTTTTCTTCTTTTTTCAGCTTCCCAAAGCAGAGAAAAAGTGAGGTAACCAGGTAGAAAAAGTCCAGATCTCTTTAAAAGAAGTATTTGCACAGCTTCTTCAAAAAGAAGGAAAAAGTTTTAACTCTGAGCTGTAACTCACTGTTTAACATAATACTTCACTGATTTAACAGCAAACATGTTTCTACAGATTTATTTTAGGGTGTGAGAGAGGGCATTCACAAAAGATTCTGCTCATTAATTATATAAAAATGTTTATAGGGCTATAGACTTTTAGATATCCAATATGTGCATTAAAATGTCCTAACAGCATTTTAAACTTTGCTTAGACAGTGTCTTATCTATTACTTAGACTAGAAAACTGACAATTTACAGGGCATATGTCCCCCTATTAAGATTTTAAAAAGAAACCATTTACTCCCCTGAAACTTACACTAGCAGGAAGTGGACAAGTAAAAACCAATTAAATTTTGTGGTTTGGTTTAAAGATAAAATCTAACCAGAACTTATTCATTCAAAGCCTCCTAAACTCTTTTACTTACATAATACACACAAGTTAAATTATGTCAGCTCTTCATTTTTTTAAAGAATGTGCTGTTTATAAAGATTTCAGCATAATCATTTCTCTCAAGATAACATATTTCATCTATTTATCTAATCAAAAAGTGAATAGGGACAAATATTTATTTTTTGTAAATCACTTAAAATACTGATTACAAATGTTCTAGAAAACATTTCTCTATTTACCTAAGTTTCCCCTTAAATGGAAGGAGTATCATAATCACAGAAATGTAAATAATATTTTCAAAATCTATTTTTATTTTTCTTCAGTATTACCTACTGTTCCCAAGTGGCTGAGCCATCTATGGGTTATATTTTCAATTACGCTCAAAGCTAGGCTGTCAGTGGAAGACAAGAATAACACAATTAAATTTAAGTTTGTCTAGAAAATATGACAAATCAAATTTTAAGACAGCATAACTTGTGGTTTTGCTTTGGTTCAAGGCGGTTGGTCTGAGAATATCCAAGCATTTAATTCACACTAATAGTATGTCCTCATCCTAAGACTAGAAGGCAATATTTTTTTTAAGGAGGGAAAGGAAGAACAAAGGTGAAAAATCCTGGAATACTGATTCCCCTCCATGAATTACTTCAATTCTCCAAAATATGCAGTTTTAGAAAGGAACGCCTGACTCTGAATGTATTTCCTCGAATGGCGTCGCTTTTGAGCCCAAAGAGTCCAGCTAATCAGGAGGCAGCTCTTGTTCTGAGCTGGCCAGAGAGCTGAGGGATGGGGCCCCTCCACACTCCCCCACCTCACTGCAGACATGAGGCAGGTAGCTGGGGTCGTCTTCCAGCACATCCCCAACATGGAGCTTCTGGGGAAAAGCAGGGGAAAGAGAGGGTAAAGGCCACATGCTTCCATAACCAGCTCATCTCTGTAGGTATGATTCAAGGAACACCTCAGTGCAGTAGTGACAGCACTCAGGCCCTGTGTCCTCGGCTGATGCAGGGAGTTTGTACTGTCCCAGAAGTGGCAGCCATGCTGAAGGGAGAGAGCCCACCTTCTAGTCTGACAGGGTACTGTGACACAGTGGTGGCCGCCCCAGGCAGTATGACAGGAGCCTTCAGGAGGACTCACCACCTGCTCCCACCCTCTTGGAGATTCATTCCTCAGGGCTCACCCTTCCCTGTCCTGTGCCCTGGACACCTCCCCTTCCATTAACCCCCAGACCCTCGTTTGGACAACCGTCCCCTCTCTCTTCATCTTTACGTGGCCTCTTGCCGTGGGCTCCTTTCTCATGACCCACAAATGTGCTCAGGTCTATCCTTCAATCCGCTCCTACCTCACAGCCTCCTCCCAAGAAAACGTGGCCAGCCCTCCCTGCCACGCCTTTCTCACCCACATGGCTCCTCAGACCACTGCCCTCCAGTCTCCCAGTCCATGCTCAGGCCATGGCTTCGTCCATCCCTAACCAATGGTGATGTCCCAGTCATCATCTCTCTAGGTGACACTTCCTATGGTCGCATCCAGAGTGGAATCCCAACCAGACAGCTCCCCAAGGACGTCCACAGAGACTTCAGACTCAGCATCCTAGAAACCACTCGGTTTGGCCCACAACCTGCATCTCCTCCTCCACGTCCCCCCCTCACTGCTCACCAAGTGCGGTGCACACTCCCTGGTACAGGGGCTGGCTGGCTGCAGCCCAGGGGACAATCCGGCAGACCAACTGCTGTTGTAAATTAAGTTCTACTGGAGCACAGCCAAGACCGTTTATTTGTGCATCATCAGTGGCTGCTTTCATGGAACAATGGCAGGGCTGAGCTGTGGGAACTGGCCTTCAAATCCTGCAAGATTTACTCTGGCCCTTGACAGGAAGTTCACTGACCCCTGCAGCATTAGATGATTTTGGTGGTATCAGGACACATATTTATTTGAGTCGATGGCCATTTTATCGTATATTTCAAAACATAATAACAAGCATATCAAATCCATGATTGCACAAATACCATTGCTTAGCTGATCATAAAGCCAAAAGCTAATTAACATGTGAGCTGAGTTACAGAAATGCATTAAATACATAATAGTGAGTGGGTTAAACACAAGTGTGACAAAATGACCAGAGTTCATGAAAATCTAGCCTGGCCCAAGTCAGGACATCCCCAACAGCCGGGCTGCTCAACCTGGAGTCACCCCAGCTCTCCCGCCTCATCTCCTCAAATGCTCAGCCATATTCCTAGCTTTGTCCCCTCTTCTCCAGCCCCAAGGCCAATGCCTGAGGATAGGTCCTTATCTCCAGTCGTTGGGGTGAAAGCAGCAAGGAGTTCATCAAGCTCATTTCCTGTTCTTCTGGGCACCCAGCGAGATCACATTTCCCGCCTCTCTGCTAGATGTGGCTGCACGACTGGCAAAATATGGATGTCAGGGACACGTGCCCAGCCACGAAAACCTCCCGAGCCTCTGTTCTCACTCTTTCTGTCCTTCAGCCCCATCTCCAGTTCCAAGTGGTGGCAAAGCCACAGGTGGGAGGACCCTGGGCAGGCTCCAGCTCAACACCCACCCTGATCTGTGACGTGAGCCAGAGGTGCCTGCTCTGCGTATTAAGCTGCCCCGCCGTGGGGCTGCCATAACCGCCTCCTCCTTCCCGACAGCCCTCTCCTCGCCATCTCCGCCTCTCCGGAACCTCTCCCGCCTCAGGTCCACCCTGTGCACAAACCCCAGAAACATTTTCTAAGCTTCATATCTGCTCTTTCATCTCTGCTAGAACCCTACACAGTCCTCCTCTGCCAATCTCCACCCAGAAAACTCCAGCTTAGCATCCAGGGCCCGGGTCATCTCTCTGTGAAGACGTTTCTGGCCTGAGTGATGAGGGAGGGGATGGGGGTGAGGAGAGGAGGTGGGGGGGCTTCAGCCTATTTACCTTCTAATACCTCTAGGGGGTACTATCTGAACCGGGAGCCAGTTCCACAGACCTTGGCAGTAATGGGTTTAGTGGGAGCCTGTCTGCTTCGTCACTGCTGATAGTGATTCTGAGAGGGTGAGCTCATGTAGAGCGTGAAAACAGTCAGAATCCTGGGGCTCAAGCCCAAGGTGGAAGATGGGGAGGGCCTGAAAAGGGCAGCTCCGGGGACCCCATGTGCGTCCCCATTCTGATGAGACCACTAGGCTTCCAAGCTCTTAACTATGCCCCTTCCCACCGCCCCCCAACACATCCCCTGCCCCAGTGACCGCAGCAAGCTGTCTCCAGCTTCCTCTGGTTCACAGGAGCCCTACCTGGGCCCATGTTTAGTGGGAAACGCTGTCTCCCGGCCCCGTCTACTGCTATGTCAGCCTGGTGCTGCCCAGTGGAAGCGTGGGAACGCTCACCTGTACATCCGACCCATTGACTGGGTCTGCTTATTCAGGGACTGTGGGCCATATGGCATGGGGGTCTGGGGGCAGGGAGAGGAAAGAACGTTCTTGCAGCAAAACCAGCAGATTCACAAGCTCTGGCCTAGGTGTTAGGATTCCTTTCACGTCCTTGCAGTGAAGCTGAATAGATAATTAACGATGGACCTGATGTGCGCAGAGCAAAACAGAATCTTCGGTGGGGGCTGTGCTGGGTGGATTTGACTTCAAATGGCCCAGGCCAACAGCAGAGCAGCAGGTGTCTGCGCTCTGATTCAGCAATTTTGGAAGCCTCGTCAGATCAATAATTCATCATACATCACCATCCAAGTTAGAGGCTCACAAGGAAAGAACTGGGCCCTCTAATCTGGCATTTCCTCCTCTCTCACACCAAGCAGAGCTGTGAGCTTCCCTTCAATAAAGCTGCCTGCCTGCCCTGCAGAGGGAGGAGGGGGCCCACAGCTGGAACACATCCCTCTCCTGCTCAGCCAAACAGGACCTGCAATCCTGTCCACGTGGTCCATTTGGCCCGAGCGGTATACGTGCATATGTGTGTGTTCATGTGTGTGTGTGTGTGTGTGCGCATATGTGAAAATGGGTAAGCCAGATGCTATGTCATGATCAACAAATGCTACATTCATGTAGTGACATGATCTTGTCTGCACAGAGTATCACCACAGAGAGTGTAGCAGGGCTGCCCCAACCCTCTTTTGTAGATGGGAAATTAAGGCTCAGAGATAAGGGTCTTCCTGGACCCTGATCAGGGCTGAGGTGGGCCCATCTGTAGTCGGCCAGCCTGTGCCCCATTTCTGGCTCTGTCCCCCATGCCTTCATCATTGGAGCTACTTGTCTGAGCCTCCATCTTTTGACTCATCTAGCACATTGGGTTACAGTGAAAATGGTTCTTTCAGTGGTTCTTCAGTGACCTTATGTCATGCACCAGTAATGACACAGCCTGGCCCTCAGGGAGGTTACAGTCCGCTCAGGAAACACACATGGAAATTTCCCTGCAGCTCATCCTGCATCGTCCTCGCCAGCAGTCAGGGCCGGGGGAAGAGCTCTGCAGCGCTGACTCTATGGACCCACAGCCCCTTCTGCAGGAGCCTGGCTTGCCTGGTTTTAGGGAAGCTTCTAGGCTCAGAGAAGTCTGTGTTCTCTCAAAGTAGCTGCCAGGCAGCACCCATTCTGCAGGGCTAAGGAGCAGGAGCGAGGAGGGGCCATGCCTGCAGTGCCTTTGAGGCTGTCACTGAGGCACAGAGCTGGAGCTCCCACCTGTGGACAGCGACAGCAACCAGAGGAAGCTGACACTGGGGAGCCCCCAGGCAGTGGCTCTGTGTCCAGACACAGTCTGAACTCACTTCCTCAGCCACAGTGTTCACAGCGCTATCTGTCATCCACTCTGACCCCCACAGCAGGGGACATCCAGGCTCACCCAAGTTTCACAAAACAGGGTCCCAGGACCTCAACTCAGAGGCACAGCTATGCACCCCAGATCCACGACAGCAGCGCCCACAGAGTTGGTACTGAGGATTGCTGCTTTTTAATGTGTCCTCCGCAAGTGCCCAGACCCTGGAGCCCAGCTGCCTGTATTTGAGTCCCACATCTGCTTTCTATGGCTGTGACCTTGAACACATTACCCAGCTTCTTTGTTCCTGGGTTTCCTCATGTAATAAAAAGGTGTATGGCAGCACCTGCCCCAATAGGCAGATGTGCAGACTGAGAGTTAACATCTTTCAAGTGCTCAGAACAGACTCTAGGACAAAGAGCATTACACACGTGTTTGTGAAAAAAGCAAATCTAGCCTGACGGAGCCTGTCTATGTCTGTCTTCCTTTGTGCTTATTATTCCTCTGGCAACAGGAAGAACTGCTGAGAGTCAGAACAGCCCGGGCAGCTTCCTGTGCATCCTTCCCCAAGCAGGGGGCACGCAGAGCCTCCCAGACACGAGCATGTGGACTGGCTCTGCCATATCCAGGCAGACATGCCTGTGGGTTTGCCCAGCTCCCGAGCTGCTTTCTAATCCTGCCAGGAGTTCACAGTGGCTGTGCTGAGGGACCTTTCTGGATATACCTAAAATCACAGTCACCCAATAGACCCCTCCAGGCCAGTCAAACTGTATCTTTCACAATTTTGTAGAAAAAGACCCTTCATTCTGAGGTAGGAGACCCGCAGGTCTTGTTTTCTGCCCACAGCCCTGATGACCAAAACAGGATCTGGTCCAGATGGGATGAAGTGAAAGAACAAAAAAAATAGTAGAAACCAGCAGATGAGACGAAGGTGATCCTTGGTTGCCCTCATTGCTCGTTAGCGCAAGACACTCACAGCAGCACCAAGACAGCTTGCAGAAGCCATGGCAAAGGCCCGGAAATTACCACGCCTTTCCCAGAAAGTTCGAAATAAGCAGCCCCTCAGCTTGCATCAACCTGCCCCTTAATGTTCATGTGATTGAAAGTGGATTTTTGTGGGTATACAGGTGTCGATCGACTTATGACCTATGCAACTTATGACCATTCGACTTTATGACCACAATCGTTAGCCACAACTGCTCCGTGTCTGGCAGCGCAAACATTGCCCAGCTGGGCGTACGACAGTGCGGACCAGCTTCCGGCAGCACTACCATCTCTGTGTGCACCATTTCAACTGTTATCCCAGACTTGGTACAGCAATTTGTGTTTTGTGTCTTGGATATTTTTCATCAAACCCCTCCCAATAAACTTCTTATACATTTCGAAGCAATGGACCCAAACATCGAACGATTTGCAAGGATTGAACGGATGGCGCATGATGTGTTTCATCCGTATAATGAAATTTGTGAAGAAAAAAAGAAACATACAATTCAGACAAAGCTCACCATGTTTATGAAAAAAACAACTCTGGTAACCCCAACTGCTGCCTCAGATGACGACATCAACGATCCGCAGCCAAGCACCAGCAGCCAATAAAATGTTTCGTACATGTTTATATATTTTGATATGTTTTGCAATTGGGAAAATGTTTCCTATGGTATTTTTTACACCTGTATTTTGTATTTTTGTATGCACCTGTATTTTGTAACTTTGTATGTTTTGCAAATATTAAACCAGCTGTATGGGTAATGCAGTGTTTTACTTAAACCTGACGAATGTAAAAATAAGAAGCAAAATGGTGTAGAGTTTGAAGTCTGGTAGTGTGATGCCTCCTGCTTTGTTCTTTTTGCTTAGAATTGACTTGGCTATGTGGGCTCTCTTTTGGTTCCCTATGAAGTTTAAGGTGATTTTTTTCCAGTTCTGCGAAGAAGGTCATTGGTAGCTTGATGGGGATAGCGTTGAATCTGTAAATTACTTTGGGCAGTATGGCCATTTTCGCAATATTGATTCTTCCTAGCCGTGAGCATGAAATGTTTCTCCATCTGTTTGTGTCCTCTCTTATTTTGTTGAGCAGTGGCTTGTAGTTCTCCTTGAAGAGGTCCTTTACATTCCTTGTTAGTTGTATTCCTAGGTATTTTATTCTCTTTGTGGCAATTGTGAATGGAAGTTTTTTCTTGATTT